AAAGATCAGGCTTTCTTTAAATCTGCAAAGATTTAAAGCCTTGGAAACCCTATGAAGGGTCCCTACGAGTCAAAACTGATTGTAGAGCCATTAATGACAACAACAACAATAAGTAGTAAGTGTTTTTTGCAAATATGCACAGAATACTAGAATTTAGGTGTGAAATACAGATCAAGGAAGGAACAAAAGTAATTATGACTTTTGTTCCATGCAGCTATAGAAACATTCTGACATTATTTCTCAAACATATATTCTATGTTCTCAAAAATAAATTTATGGGAATAACATTTATATTATCAAGGAATTCCTTTTAGCATATATAAAAAAATGTGCTCCTCCAAATTTAGGAAATAGGGTATATTTCAAAAGTTGAACTTTTTATTCTTAAATATGAAACACAACTTATATTGTAGCTTACAATGTTGGAGTCCTGGTGCAGCGCTATGGCTAATGCATCAGACGGCAAAGTGGTTTGAACTGCAAGGTCAGTGGTTCAAGCTCACCAGCTGCTCCTTGGAAACCCTCCTTATACCAGGTCGCTATGGGTCGGAATAGACTCGACAGCACTTAACAACAACAACAGAATGAAATATTCTGGAGTCCTGGTGTGGCGCTACAGGAGAATGCATTAGAACACAAGGTCCGTTTGAACTGCAAGGTTGGCAGGTCAGACCCACCAGCTGCTTCTTGGAAACTCTATACAGGGTTGCTATGAATCAGAATGGACTTGACTGCACTGAACAACTATTACTAGTAATAGGACTGGTAGCGTAGTGGTTACGAATTGGGCTGCGAACCTTAAGGCCAGCAGTTCAAAACTACCAGCTGTTCCGCAGGAGAAAGATGAGACGTTCTCTTCCTGTAAAGATTTACAGCCTTGGAAACCCTGTACAGGGTCACTATGGGTCGCAATCGACTCGACGGCACTTAACAACAACAACTAGTAATAGGAAGAAATTTCTTTTGAGTTTTCATTCAATAAGCATGTTCTTCATGTCTCTTATACATCTTAGGTCCTTATGCATCAAATATGGGAGTCCTGGTGTGGTGCTGTAGGATGAGTGCTGGACCACAAGGTTGGTTTGAACTGCAAGTTTAAACTCACCAGCTGCGTATAGGAAACCCTATAAAGGGTCTCTATGAGTCAGAACCAACTCACCAGCACTTAACAGTAACCACATACATCAAATATATCACCTGCCACAGAAAGAATTTTCCTACCTAGTGGCTAATTGAATCATTAATGCTTTAGTAGAGAATTTAAGGACAACTGATACTACAGTAAATTCAGGAATTTACTGTTTGCAGAGGGCTCTCTCATATTAGAGGAGCCCAGGTGGAACAATCGTTAAAAATGCTTGATGCTAACGGAAAGGTTGGTGGTTTGAACACTCCAGCTACTCTGTGACAAAAAAGATGTGGCATCCTGCTTCCATAAAGGTTTGTTGTTGTTGTTGTTGTTAGAAGTGCCGTCGAGTCGGTTCCAACCCATAGTGACCCTGTACAGGGATTCCAAAGGCTGTAAATCTTTACAGGAGCAGAAAGTCTCATCTTTATAGCCTTGGAAACACTACATAGGGTCACTATGACTCAGAACATGCTTGAACTGTGTTTCTTGTATGCTTTTTAAAATTTTTATTGTTAAGTGTCTTCATGTCTATTCCAACTCACAGAGACCCTGTGTTGGCCCACCTTGTGGTTCAAGCCAACCTTTCGGTCCAGTGCTTATCCTACAGCGTCATACCACAACTCTTTTATACACACATATAATCGGAAGGTTAATAGGATGAATGACTTTGTACTAGACACACTTGTGTTTGAAACCTAACTGCTATATAACTAACTGTAATCCTGGGTATGTTATTTACTTTCTCCAAGATCCTGTTTTTTACTCTGAAAAACTCGGTTAAAAATCGTGTTGACTGCATTTGGTTATTTTAACCGTAACTGATGTACAGGATGTAAAATGCCTCCACAGTTTCTTCTTCTTCTTGTGTGTCATCAAGTCAGTTCTGACTCAGAGCCACCCTGTATAGGGTTTCCAAGAGCAACCTGTGGGTTTGAACTTCCAGCCTTGTGGTTAGCAATCCGATGCTTATCCTAAAGTGCCACGCCAGGGCTCGCACAGTTCCTGTTCTTGTTAGCTGCTGTTAAGTTGGCTCTGACTCATAGTGATCCTGTTCCCAACAGAACGAAACACTGCCTGGTGCTGTACCATCCTCACTTAACAACAACAACACAATGACATCGTCTGGAGTCCTGGTGTGGCGCTTTAGGATCACACACTAGAACACAAGGTCAATTGCTTGAGTGTATTGCTGCTGCCACTGTGCCAGTCCATCTCGTTGGGGGTCTTCCTCTTTTTCGTTGACCCTCTACTCTACCAAGCATGATGTCCTTCTCCAGGGACTGCTCCCTCCTGATAACATGTCCAAAGTATGAGAGATGAAATCTCACCATCCTGGCTTCTAAGGGGCATCTGACTGTACTTCTTCCACCACAGATTTGTTTGTTCTCTGATAGCCCATGGTACTTTTAATATTCTTCTCTAACACCATAATGCAAATGCATCCATTCTAATATGGTCTTGCTTATTCATTGTCCAACTTTCACATGCTATGAGGCTACTGAAACTATTATGGCTTGGGTCCTCAAAACTGACATCTTTGTTCTTGAACACCACACCTTGTATGAGGTTTCCGAGGAGTGGCTGGTATGTTTGACCCTCCGTTCTTGTAGTTCAAACTGACCTTGTGGTCCAATGATTATCCTATATACCGCCACACAAGGACTTCCCACAAAATGTTATGTGCTGTTGGGTTGGTTCCGAGGAACAGCTGTTGGGTTTGAACTGCTGACCTTACAGTTGGAAGTCCAGTGCTGATCCTAATTATCTGAAACTCACAACTTTTGGAAGGAAGCAAGAAAATGACGCTTCTCATTTTATCATTGAGAAGAGGGCAGGCGGCGCAGGCAGACTGAGTGGCATTGCCCAATAACAGAAAGCTAAGGAGCTGAGGGAGTGAGGCCCAGAGAAAACCCCTACTTGGCATCTGGGCCACTCCCTCAGTGGAGAAGATAATGAGTTTACGAGTAGAGAGGGACTTGGCATAGGAGCACAAGAGATATAATTTGGTAGTTTCAGAATCTTCTGTACTTTTGAAACCCAGAGACATGAAAAGGCTTGACGATCTGCTTTTATTAAGATTGAAGCTAAGAAAACCCTGTGGAGCAATTCTGCTCTGTAACACATCGGGTCACCATGAGTTGAAATCAACTCATCGGCAACAGTGACGTCAGTTACAAGCTTACCTAGAATTGACTGAACATAAGATAGGTTAGGACTGTGCTTAGTAGAGTTTAATGTTCTCTCATAGAATTGACTTTTGTTTACTCCATTCTTTTATGCCGAAAGCTGTGCTTCTGGTTCCTTTTCAACATGAACAAAGTACACTGATAATTAATTCATTAGACTGAGTGTTTTGATTCTATTTTCTTTATTATCTTCATCTTTCCTGGGAGATATTCTATGCCCAAATGGTTTTAATGTGTAGTATTTGGTCTTTTCCAATTTTCCTTTCATTTATTTATTTATTCACTCAGTCGTTGGTTTGCTCTCCTTCAATTCAAACAAGTACTCACTGTGGGCCACTCTCATCACTGAGGACAGAGAGACATATAAGGCACCGTCCTGACTGAAAGGAGCTCCTCGGTCTAGTAAAAAGACAGGCAAGGCAGATCAACCAATCCATTTCTACCTTGCCAATAAATGCAATAGTAGAAAAAGGCATGAAGGGACCTCAGAAAACCAGGGTGGAAGCTAATTCTGCCTTTGGGCTCAAACAAGGCTTCTTGAAGGAGATGGTATCTGAACTGGATTTTTTAAAGGCGAGTAGTAATTTATTAGGCACAAAAGTGTGCATTTTCTTAATCTGACCTATGAAATAGCAAATCTGCTTTCCCAGGCATTGTGTACACTATTTCATACTCTTTGTTCACCAAATTATTACTTTGATTGCACTCAGAACTGCTCCAATATCTAGTTTCCCAAAGCTTTCCTTAATCAGCCTCTTCAGATTGAATGCAATTTAACTCTCAGACACTGCCATTGTACACAGTTGCAGTTGTAGTTGGAACTTATTTTCCATGTAAATAATATAACATTTGATTTTATTTTGCTATGTTTGAGGTATTCTGAAAGACTGTTTAAAAAAGCCATAATAGTATTCTTAGGATTTAAAGTTCACCACAGGTTCCTTTAGAAGGAAAAGCCTATAAAACATGATTAAACAGTAATAAGGTCCAACTATCCTGAACATATTAAAGTTTTTAGGGAAGATTAAAAAGTTACCAACACTTTCTTGTGTTATTTATCATAAAGCGTATAATGTGGGGGCTGTGGGAGAATGTACTGAACTGCAAGATCAGTTTGAACTGCATGGTTGGTGGTTCAAATTCACCAACTGCTCCTTGGAAACTCTATACAGGGTTTCTAGGGGTTGAACCAACTCTACGGCACTGAACAACAACAATGTGATGGCAATTCCTCTGATATTCAAATGACATACTTACGCTTTTCTTATATTATTTACACCGATAGAAAGTTTTACTAACTCAGCTCATTTTGGAATATCCGATTCATTCATCTGCTGTGTGCCTCAAGATGGAAATTTAGGTTAAATTGTAACTTGAATTTAACTCTAGTCAAGAAAATAAGTGTGCCATCTTTAAAAACTCTGTACTAAATTTTAAGTACAACAGATCAAAGTGCATCTTATTTAAATACATACTCTGAAAAAGAAGTCTCAATTATTTTTTCCCAAACTAGCTTAAAAGAGTCACTATTCTCAGTATAAAATTTGAGGTTCGGCTTTTAGTATATTAAAGAAAGATAAAAAGTTGTTTACTTAAAAATTCTAATGATTTCACAAATTAATGGAAATTCTCCTTTGGGGACACCTTTATTTGAATTGTCTGTGACATCGTTTTTATTTCTTAAGGCTATGATTAAAAGTTTCATGGATGTGTACCAGCTTGCAAGCGCGAGAATCGCTACAATGGAAAAGGAGATGATATCTCATCGAAATCACATTGTCGCCTTGAAATCAGAACTTCATTCTGCTTGTTTACGGGAAAATGAAAGTTTACAATCAGTAAGTCTTTGTCCTGCTGGTCTCTTCTTTGGATCATATTAATATTTATACTTTGATTGCTCATAAGATCATTGGCCATTTGTGTGTATGTGTATATATATATATATATATATGCATGTATGTGTGTCTGGATGGATATATAAACTCTATATAATTTAGGGCAAAGGATTGATCAAGCAGCATAAAATGATTGTTGTGAAGAAAATTTTGAAGGAAGCAAAGCAATGAATTTCTCCATTTCTCCATTCCTGTCTGTCATGTATGAAGATATGCATATTGTCGTCAGTGCTGAAACACTGCATCCGGATTCCTTTGTGTTTGGCAGTGCAGATGACAGCTGGCTTTGGCAGTATGCATAGTTAAAGCTGTGCAACTGTCTGAAGAGTCAGTGTGTCCCATTAAGACAGAATATTATTAATTATGCGTATAACCAAAATGGTAATTAGAACATGTGATTATTCTCTGTAGAAAACTAGCCTTATCCATAATACATGGCCAGCTAAAAACGTAGATTGTGATTCATCTATATGATTAAAACGCAGTTTCAGCAGTTACTTTATGTCTTAAAATTTTAGCTCATAATGAAATTTGGGCTCATTGAAGACTATAAAATTTTTATATATGGATTCTCTATTTGAAATATGTATGTGGGGAGTTTAAAAAAAACAACAACAAATATATTTGTAACATAAATAAAATACACATTTAAACATTTTTTCTCAAAAGGCAAATATGTCCACAGTGAGATAGATTAAGAAGGCTACCAAGGGTTGTTATGTTTTTTTCCCCTTCTTGATTTGATTACAGTGGTTAAAAATCCCTTGTAAGGAAAAATGTTGGATGAGTTCTGACTCATAGTGACCCTGTGTAGGGTTTCCAAGGAGTAGCTGGTGGGTTTGAACTGCCAATCTTCTGGCAAATGATTTTTGAATCATTTGAATTCAAAATGATTTCTCATTCCCTGTTGACCCATTTCAAATGATAGTCACAAGAAACCAAGATCACATTAAAGCAAACTGGTACCTGGCTATGGTTTGGCTCCTGAGCTCCTTCAGGTTTCAGTGTAAATGTCAGCATCTAAAATACATCTGTCTCTGACCATGATATTTACAACCGCAAAGTTCTGAGCGTCTCTTGATCACACACACTACCCACACTCACACACACACTTACAAATCCTCTCTCCTGCCCCATGTTGCTTATTCACCTTTCACCTTTCTTGCTTTATGTTCTTAAATTGCAGTACTTATCATAAACTGATAAATTTTATTTATTTGCTTCCTATCTATCTTCTCTCTACCCCATATGTGCTCCATAAAGACATGCAGTTTGGATTGGTTTTTTTTTCACTGTTGTGTGCCAGTGCCTGGATCAATGCCTAACACGAAGTAGGCACTCAACAATTATTTATTGAATAAACAATACAAGCAATATATCCAATAATTGTAAAAAACAAAAACAAAAACCAAACCCAATTAAATAATTGGGGCCTGAGGCATGAGTTCGTGGAGTTCAACATTTCAAAGGGCTGGTAATTTCTTAACAAGACCACAGAAATAAGCGCCATTGTGAGAGATTTAAATGAGGAGAATTTAAAATAATTTGAATAAATATTAAAAAATGTCTAGACTTTCCCTAAAGGTTTTTTCCTGCTAACTCACTGATCCAATTGGTTAGTGTTATGTTATACTGCATAGATTGTGTCCATTTTAATGGGTCATACTGTTATTTGTTACTGATTACTCAAATAAAAAGAACTACTTTTATTTTAAAAAGATCAGAGTTGATGACCTTAGGTTGTTTGCCTATTGTTGTTGTTAGGTGCTATCAACTTGGTTCCTACCCATAATGACCCAGTGCACAACAGAACCAAACACTGCCCAGCCCTGCGCCATTCCCACAATTGTTGTTACGCTTGGTTCCGTTGCTGCTGCCACTGTGCCAGTCCCTCTCTAACAAGCAGGACATCCTTCTCCAGTGACTGGTCCCTCCTGAGAGCACGTTCAAAGTATGAGAGATGAAGCTCACCACCATGGCTTCTAAGGGGCATTCTGACTGGACTTTTCTGTTTGCCTATAGGTTCAAATGTTCCAAGTTTTTTCTGTTAGGTTTTTTACATTAAAATTGTGCTAATGTTAAAATGATCTTAATGTCATTGCATTTAATAGACCCCACTATACAGCCCTGGTGTAGACCTGCAAAGTTGTTTCAACTGCAGGGTCGGTGGTTCAAGCTCACCGGCTGCACCTTGGAAACCCTATAGAGGGTCGCTATGGGTCAGAATCGACTCAACAGTACTTAACAACAACAACAACAATAATATGGCCCTCAATAATTGACACTTCTCAACCTTTTTTTTCCCCTTCTGAACACATCTGCAGAATGTGCTCAGTATCTCCTTTATTGGTGGTGGTTCACCCTGGCAGTGCTTCTCAAGAAGTATGTAATACGGAAAATTCCCTCAGGTAATTCTGATAACATCCTCCCAGGAGAATGCTGCGCAGCCCACCCATGTCTCTAGGGGGTGTGCACAGTCCTGCCTCTTCCCTGAGTTGAGTATTACTACATTAAAAACAATCGTAAGTTTGTATAATATTCTTCTTTTCCTAGGCATTTCTACATACATCTTCTAATTTGAGCTTCTTAAGAATTCTGAGGAGAGTCGAAAAGCAAGTCTTAGCCTCTGTGGTTTATAGAAGATAGGCAATATCATATGGTGAATAAGAACATAGGTTTTTGAGTTGTATTCCTTAGGAATACTATTAATGTAAATAATGGAAAACTTGACAAACATGGCTTAAAATAAAGTTTGTTTGTTTTTTTCTTCTTCTTCTCTCACATGGCAAGAAGTCTAGAATGAGGTCACTAGTGCTATTAATTGAGTGACTTGATTTCCTAATAATCTCCATGCCACTCACTGTCATAAGACACAACTCAGCTCTAGGATTTGGAATCATATTTATTTAAGTCAAGGGAATGGAATGACTCTAGAAATATCTGATAGCAAGATGGCGTGTGGATATTTAAGAAAAGCCCTCCAAGGCAGCTCCAAACAGACTTTCACTTATATCCCATTTGCTGAAAGTGGGTCATCATGTGACCATCCCTCGATATAATGAGTGAAGGGAGAACAGAGTTAGGAATAATGGGTATTGGATTCACCAACTAGTAGTGTGTGCTGTAAACGTCAGGCAGATCTGGATTGTTCTATCAGTGACTAACTGTGGTTTCGATCTCAGATATTCAATCTGTAAATAGAGATAATGATTCTGTCTATCTGAGATATCTGGGAGGTCTAGTGAGAAGTGTTACAGTACTTGGGACTTTGATTTATACTTAATGAGTAACCCTTACTCACACCCCACAAAATGTTTGTTATTATTTTTAACACTGTTACTTGGATGAAAAGTAATTGGATTGTGCCTTCCCAAGCCCACTGCTGTTCAGTCGATTCTGACTCAGAGCGTCCCTACAGGACAGAGGGGAGCTGCCCCTTAGGGTTTCTGAGGCTGTAAAGCTTTATGGGAGCCAACAGTCTCATCTTTCTCCCAAAGATTTGGTAGAAATCTCCCAAAGATTGGTAGATTTGAACCACTAATCTTTCGGTTAGTAGCCCAACACTTAACCCACCATGCCACCGCGGCTCCTTGGATTACACCATGTTGTTGTTAAGTACCGTGGAGTTGGTTCCGACTCATAGTGACCCTGCACAGGGTTTCCAAGGCTGTAAATCTTTATGGGAGCAGAAAGTCTCGTTTTTCTCCCATGGAATGGTGGGTAGTTTTGAACTGCTGACTTGAGGTTAGCAACCCAATTCGTAACCACTACGACACCATTGGAAAAGATTATTCACTAACCTAACGTCTTCAGCTGCAAGCCTTGGTTTTTCATTCTTCCTCCTTTTTGGCCACCATCAGGGTATTTGTGTGAGCTTTCAGCCCCCTCAGTAGCGGATGTTCCCCTCATTTCATTGACAGGCTGTTGAAGAATAGTTCTATATTGGCTGTTTGCACACACTCACTGTCTGTCTGCTCCTGAGCTTACAGCTCTCTCTCTTCTGAGTGAGTCTTTATATCTACTGAACTACTTTCTTAAAGGTCCCCTTCCTGCTTGCTCTGTCCATTAATTAGTTCCTTCTTAGCCCTTTCAACTTTTCTACAACATACGCGGCTTTTAGCAATTCTTTTCTTCTTAAAGCTCGTTTCCTTTGTTATCTCATCTTTCTTTTGTTGATTCTCTGGCTGCTTATCTGTGCTCTGCCTTCAGTGTATTTTTGGTTGTTCCTGCGCTTCTGTATCAATCCAGTATGTACTGAGCTTCTCTCTATGGTAAACGTTGTGCTAGGTTCTAGGGACACAATTTGTAGCCAAACAGGCAATTCTTTTTCTCATGGATTTGCAATCAGTAGTAAAAGTATTTAATTTTCATGTAATCAAAGTATTTATTATAAAATGTTTGCTTCTACTACCACATTTTAAGTAGTTGCTTTATTTCCCAAGGAAGGTTCAATCCTACACATTCGCCCGTCTGCTTGTTATTTCTAAGTGGTACCGCTATAGGATAAGTGCAGGGCAGCATGGTAGGTTTGAACCTACCTTGAGGTTGGTAGTTCAAACTCACCAGTCACTCCTCTGAAATCCTGTACTGGGTCACTATGAGTTGGAACTGACTCGATGGCACGTGACGACAATAGCAAAAATATCAGTACTACAACGACAGTAACTGATCTTTCTAGCTTTCTGAGATGCCATCTTTTCCTCTGGATTTCTTCTCTGTTCACTGGCCTCCATGACTCCTCTTGCTCCACCACCTGACTCTGGCCTTTGGATTTCCTTAACTTCCTATTTGGGATCTGGTTTATTCTAGATTCTAGAAACAGTTTTGACTTTAGACAGAGGGGAGGAGAAAGACTCTGTTTTAATAATTTGTTAGCTTTCCAAGTTGGCCTTGTTGCACACTCAAGTTTTCATTGAGTAGTACCTTTTCTCAGTGATGGATTT